TACGAGCGAACTGATCATGCCATAGTTGATTTTGTATGCGCTGCTATTATATCGAACAGCACTGTACATCCGAGATCTTAAAAACTTTTCCATAGACTTTATAATCTTGAAAATATGTTTTGTCCTGTAGCTTTTCTTTATAAATCTCAATATTCCAATTTCTTAATTCAAACTTTCATTTTCCAAAACCCTACCTAATTAACCACTCGGTCAAATGAATTTCAGCCTAATGGTATGACTTGAAACTCTTGAAAATATTATAAATTCGCTAAGGAATTCTCTTGTAACTATCATTAAACTAGCATGGAATTCTGCAAAGAATGTTTTGAGCATGTTTAGATGTCCATGAAATTATTATACATATTTCCTTGCAGCTCTCCTCAAAATGTGTCTTTTATTGATGGAGTGATAAACATTGTCAGTCAAGTTTGTCTTATTTTTAATTCACTTTGAAGGAAAGAGGTCCGAATTCCATTAGAAAAATTATGAAAATCCTTCCATTTTGCTTTAGAGATTTTTAGAATTATAATGGTTATCCTCATAATAGTCTATCCAGAACAACCACAAAACTCACCGTTACTTCTTTTTACAATCTTCATGAGATTTTTCTCAAAGTTATCTGAAATTCCTAGTTAAACTCCATTGTATATTGATAATGATCCCTAGATTTCCTCAAAAATGATCTGGAATTCTCATCATTATTTTTCTAAAATGAAAAGAAAAAGATCCCGTAAAGTTCAACAATGTGAAAAACTGGCTTAGCCGTATTATATTAATAATTTTATCATGTAATATTCGGACAACATTTCAGTCTGAGTATTCAAATGTTCGTAGATCAAATTGTTTTCTAGAATAATTTTCAAGCTAAATGTATCAATTTGGCCTAGTTTTATGTCAATAATGTACGTGTCACTTAGATACAATTCAAACTTCTGAGTCTTTTAAGAATATTTAAAATTGTAACAAACTATATGGATCTGCTTATAGAATTCTGCAAATAGTTTTTCACATGTCAGTAGGCAACGCGCAATTTAAATGAAAGTCCATCCACCCATCTAATATTTTTTGCATTCTCAAACTGCTCGACTCTAATACACATATGTTAGTTTGCATATAAACTGCGTAAGAAGGCACTAAAAACAACAACGCAGAAAAACTTGATTGATCAAGGTTAAGCCGATTTGACTACGATTATAATAAAAGGTGATACGGTCAAAATTTGGTCAATATCAACTTGACGTATTTCTTTCAATTTTGCATTTAAAAAACCTGAACACCCCTCATTTTGAAGGTGTGTGTGTGTAGAATGTTGCTCCTATTTTGATTTTGGAATTCACTCTTCAGTTGTCAAAATGCCGTCCAAGCAAGAAGAGCAGCGTATCAAAATTTTGCTCGCGCATCGCGAAAATCCGAGCTACTAGCGTTAGCGTTAGCGTTGTTATGATATACTTCGTAGATTGGATACTAGCGACACTCACGTCTCTTCTGAAATTCTCAGTTAGACTACTTTCAGGAATAATGCTGAGGAGTAAACATTGGTTCCAATCTAAACAAGAGTAACAGAAGCTGTCGCTATTCCCGGCCACGCCCATCTTTACCATAACTAGGGATAGGGAAGGAAATGTTGATGTAGTACTTACTTAACGAGAGGCCACCGACTTAGCGACACCCTCATAAGTGCTACGGAGTTGGAGGGTTGGGTAGGGTATTCGGTTAGGATTCACCTCAAGTTGGCGATGCAACCAAAAGTATGTATTGTTTATTTGTTGTTTATTTAATCTCTCGATAGCCGACTATCGAAAGAACATATTAATTTTGTTTAGTGATAATGAATTTTAAGAGTCATGATGGAGAGCTTGGGATTAAACCCATGATTTTCTGCTCAGTAAACAAAAACGATCCCTCCAGGGTCATCGAGCATCTCAGAACCATAACGCTTCGCGACAATACAGGACTACGTTTTCGCTTGATATGCAAATAGTTTCCGAGGTTAATGTTCAATATCAAATATACAAATGATGGTGGCGATTTATTGTGCTGTGGAAGAGCTTGGGGTTAAATCCATGATTTTCTGCTCAGTAAGCAAAATCGATTCCTCGAGGGTCATCGAGCATCTTATAATCCACAGCGCTTTGAATAACTATTATTAACGATAATTACATGAAATAAATAAAATATAAACTACAAACAAAACGTGACTGCTAAAATCTCAAAAAGATATTCTCACAAATATATTTCACGCCACCAGGAATCTCAAAACCATTAGACGTTATAATGATACTCTGCACATATTAGACACAAGAAGAGGCCAAAAAGCAAGCGTCCGACACACAAAACCCGTCAAATCCACAATCAACGATTCTACGAATCGCGAGCGCTCACGAATCATAAAACCGCTGACTGCGACACTCTGAAAGCGAAATTGACAGGATCTATGCGTCAAACACCCGCCCTCCAATCTCCACCCGCATCCAACAGCACAAATCTCCATTACAACATCTAACGAATTCAAAACTCCGAAAATCACTCATCTATAGCAAGTGAGTGGAAGCAACCCTGCATGCAACCATTCTTAATGATACACTTGTTCTGCCTATCTTTCTATTAGGCCTGTGGACATGCGTTAGCTTCGAAACTTCTAACCAAACTGGGTAAATTTTCAGATCACAAAAAAAAAAAAAAAAAAAAAACTTGAAAAAAAAACTTTCAAAGGTAATTACAAGTAAGATAAATATTGATTATTTTACGCGAAAACGAGCAAGTAATATTAAATCTCTTGTATCATATGCTAATGCAAATTGACTGTAACAAAAATAATATGCTTAAATAAAATAAAATATTAATAAAATTATATGCAAAATTTACAAGAAGATCATTACTTTATTGGTGAGAAGTTTTTAATAAGCCCTCCCAGTTCCTCTGTATACAGAACAAATCTGATACTATAATCAGAATTGCTCAGTCTGCATAATGCAGCCGATTGCATCAAGGAAGTTCTATTAACAACCAAGAATTAATCGTTTGAGGTATACTGAAGCATTAAGAAGGTGATATGTGTCACTATAGGAAATCATCATCGTTGCAAATATAAAGAAATTAAACATAACCCTTTGCTTCAGTACCGTCAACCTCCATGTCCATGGGGAGGGATCGCGAAAATCCGAGCTACTCGCACGCAAAGTTGGCAAAATCGCTAAAAGTTGCCAAATCAACCGTTACAAATGTAATTAAAGTGTTTGGGGAACGTTTGTCGACAGCCAGGAAGTCTGGATCGGGGGGAAATCGAAAACCGGAAGCCGCTGAGACGACAAAGAGAGTTGCCGGTAGTTTCAAGCGAAACCCTAACCTCTCTCTCCGAGATGCCGCAAATAAGCTGGGTGTATCGTCTACAACCGTGCATCGAGCCAAAAAACGAGCCGGACTATCGACTTACAAGAAGGTAGTGACTCCAAATCACGATGATAAACAAAATACGATGGTCAAAGCGCGATCCCGGAGGCTGTACACGACGATGCTGACGAAGTTTGACTGCGTGGTAATGGACGACGAAACCTACGTCAAAGCCGACTACAAGCAGCAGGGAAAGGTAGCAGATGTTTTCAAGCACATGAAACTGTCAACGTTCGCAAAGAAATATCTGGTTTGGCAAGCCATCTGTACCTGTGGCTTGAAAAGCAGCATTTTCATAGCTTCCGGGACTGTCAACCAAGAAATTTACGTGAAAGAGTGTTTGAATAAACGTCTGCTGCCTTTCCTGAAGAAACACGGTTGTTCCGTACTGTTTTGGCCGGATTTGGCATCTTGCCATTACGGTAAAAAGGCCATGGAGTGGTACGCCGCCAACAACGTGCAGGTGGTTCCCAAGGACAAGAACCCTCCCAACACGCCAGAGCTCCGCCCAATTGAGAAATACTGGGCTATTGTCAAGCGGAACCTAAAGAAGACCAAAAAAACTGCTAAGGGCGAGCAGCAGTTCAAGGCAAACTGGCTTTCTGCGGCGAAGAAGGTGGACAAGGTGGCTGTACAAAATCTGATGGCAGGGGTCAAGCGTAAGGCCCGGCAATTCGGATTTGGAAAACCGGAAGCCTAACTGAATATTTTTCCTGAATTTTATACTAATTGAACTTGAAAAAGAAATTTAATTTGATTTTTTAAATAAACGATTTTACCGATTTACACGCGTTTTCCCTTGACCAAATTTTGACCGTATCACCCTTTAGCCGGCTCATTTTCAATAGTTTTTTTCAACTTAGATCACATTTTGTGTAGTGCTTGAGTTGTGCGGTTGAATTTTGAAATAAATTTGTGGGAGGCAATAGGTAAGATCTAATAGCTTTGGTTTGTCGAAGAAACTTCGTTTAATTTTTTTTTTCCATGTTAATAGGCACCCCAATTAATTATATGATTTGAGTAGTAGCTATACTGAAGATCCGAGAGATGTCGCCACTTTAGTGGTAGGAAAATCATTTTTGCAGTATGGAGAATATCAGAAAATCCACGATTTGTGACTAAATGCTTTCACAGAACGAAACAAATAAACGAGTGTTTACCTTATCACCATAGTAATGTACTCGTGCAATTTTCATGCATCTAAAACTGTCCATAAAGACGATAATGAATAAAAACTGAAAATTTTCATGCATTTCCAAATGATTTCCTACCATTCCCATACATTCGAAAGTGACTGGCCCTCTGGATGTGGATGATGTCAAAGACAACAAATTATCATTAATTAACGTGGGTGTTGGTCTTGGACCACAAGCTTGTCTGGGAGCGTAAATCTAACGCAATCATGTACTAGCATCGCCCGCTTCCTTGGTGCGAGTTCTAGAGATAAATCTGCACTCCTAGATCTGACGGCATCGTAACCGGTCCATCGAGATAACCGAATTTCCACCGCCATACGAAATCTCCCATGAGCTTTTGTTGACACCCACCGTTACCAGCCTTGGTGAAGCATTTCGACTGTTACGCCTCCGTTCGAACGTAATCCGAATCTAATGGTACGGAAGGTTCACAGCGTTACGCCGGATTCGAATCCTTCGCCTAAACACCAAGCTTCGGCATCGTCCTGCCGAAAACCACGACGACAGATGGAGAATTGTTCACCTGCATCTCAAAAGTCGTACGTCTCGCGTCGCTGGGAACATCGCAATGCAACCGACGTAAAAGAACAGTCAGGTAAGTGTAGAGAATAGACCGATGTAGTTGACTTGTTGAATGACTGAAAAATATGAGCTCAATAGTAAAATGCAACACCAGGGTAGAAAATAAAACTGATTTGGAATTTGACTTATTTTCCTTTGTAAAGTGGCATGATGAATAATCCCGCCAGAAGATCGTCGGACCGTCGTGAGCCTTCACGAGAGTGAGAAACCGCTTTTGGAGACACTCTTCCAAATAGACCTGTCCATTCATGGTGCTTGCAGTAACGTGCACATCTCGAACTGAGGCGTTCGGTTTCCGTTTAAAGGCCCCAACCACGCGTTTGTGATGGTTCTCGTTGACGTGACGACTTTTTTTCCGGATCTTCGGTTCCGACCAACAGTCAGACGTTCTTCGAACCGTTTTATGATACCAGACACCGTGGAATTCGCTATTCCCAACTTTTTTACGATGGCACGATGCGACAGATCCTTATTTTAAAAGTACTCGTGCAGACTTTTCCGCGCACACACTGTTCTTTCGTAACTATTTTGAAAACTTTTGCGCACCTGATGAAATCAACTTACAGAGTGTAAACAATACACATTAAACTATGTCTACGAAAATTTCAATTAATTTTACCCTAGAGAAATGTAAGTGTGTGCGGGTTTTAAACGGTACGCCCTCTAAATGTAGACAATTAACATTAAACTTACACACTAAATCATTTTTATGATACAACATCTCATTTCAACATAAAAGAATTTCAAATGTGGAATCATCGACTCAAAATTAAGTAGAATAAGTCATTTCACCGAACTTAGCAATTGTACATTTAGAGTGGTATAATGCATCGTTTGTTACACGGATAGAAATTTCCTTATACCTTTTGGCAAATTTCTATGGCTGATTATTCATAAAATGTATAAGTCAACTAATAAGCAGACGCCTTGCAAAAAGTTAATGAAGCTCATGTGTCAAATGAAATGTATAAGCGGTCACACATACCTTTTATGCATTCTTGTAGGACCTTTTTGGTTTGCCTTATGGAATGTATGAGGCTGATCTTTTGGCAAAAATGTATAAGTGAAACACATGAATAAAATAATTGATTCTCGTTTCGTGTAGGAAACACGGTGTGAATCACCGATTTCCGGTTTCTACATGTCATCCCCGTTTCGAAAATCCCCATATTGTAGGGTATTTGACAGTTTCTCACAAAGAAATTTGGATTCCAAAATAGCGTGAATCATAGATTCCCGACCTCTACACGTCATTCCCGTTCCGAAAATATGTATCAGAACCCGAGCAAAGCTGGAGATCAAATTGAAATCAAAATTTGCTGTTATGATGTAACTTATTTTGAATACTCCAGTTGATCTCATTTTGGTTGACTTAACGGTTAACACATCAAAAATGAGAGCAAAATTTTACACTGTTGAATCAAACGGAAAACTAATCTTGCTTTCAATGAAATCAATTTGATTACTGATTTTGCATTCATAATGTTTAACTGAATACGGGCATGGCGTAAATGGTTAGTATCCATGCTTCTCACGGTGAAAGAGTTGAGCTCAAATCTCACCCCGGGCAAGTCATGAAGGACCTAAAATGTGTTAAACAAAACAAATAAACAATAATCATTAGTTAACAGCAAAACTTCAAGTTAAGTTGCTTTCATTTAAAAAGTTTTGACTGCATAATGAAAGCACAATATGATATCAGACTTATGTCACCACAATTGAAATCAAAATGAGTTTTTATTATGATAGTTACTGCAAACTTTAATATCGATTTGCTTTCAATTTGTTTACCGACTTTGCTCGGGAAGGCAGGTAGTATCCCTTTTGTTGCAGCACTAAGGTGATAAAAAATAACATGCAGGTAGAATTGAATTGCTTTGAATTGGGTAATTATCACTAGTGAGAAGAAGTGAGAAGTAGAGGGTTGAATATGAAGCTAGAATCAAATAAACTTGTTACATTAGGCAAACAAGGCTTTTTAAGATAAAGCACCGTGTTTTTAAATGAGTTTATAGTGGACCATTTTTTACCGTGTTTTTCTTCAACTTTGCCAATGCGTCAATTTCATTTTAGAAGTAAATATTTGTTTGGAGTACATGAATGTTTGTAGAATGCTTTTTTAACGGATCTTTCACATCATTTTGAAATCGTTGAAAGTCTTGAAAATAATCCCTTTTGCCTGCGTAAATAAATTGTAATTGACTATGTACCAGCTTCCAGTTACGAACTAATTGAATAATACAAAAGCATAGCAGAGTGGCAAACGACACTATTCACCGATCTGGGAAACATACATTGATTGTTCCTGAAGCCACAAAACCAACGAAACTATTTGGTTTTGTGGGCGTTAGTGCATGTTCGTTAATCACAAACAGGTGTACCGAACGCTGTGGTAAGTTACAAGCGAGAATGGAGCTTCAGCTTGGCACTAATTATTGGTTGTCACCATGGTACCATTAAACTTCTCGATCTCATCATATTTGTGGTTTCACTAATAACCTAGTTGTTGTTACGATTGATTCATGGCTCCTTGCGCGCCACTACAGCACAGAAAATTGATTGAAAGAAAAAGATATTCATTAGAAAATAATCACCTTAATTAGGGTTTCATTGCTTTGAGATGTGTAGGTATCTACCATTCTGATTTATATTTCGGACACCTTCATATTTTGGAAACATTATAATTATATCTTGAAATACCTATATGATGCAAAGCTATGTGAAGCAAACAATATAAATAAATCACGCTTGTTTTTTTTTACTCAGCCCGCGGTTTTACAATCATTTTGTATAGGTATCAACCCTGAATGATGACATTGCCGGAAAGAATATTATTATTATTCCAACATTCTTAAAACATAAAGTGTCTTAAATCACTTTTTGTCGCTGTGGAAAAATGTGATTCATGTTCCGGACAAGACTGTTTTATTTATTGATTTAATAATTTCATAAGATTAAACTGCATTAAAGAAGAAGTCAAATTTAACGTAAGAATAATAAACGAATAAAATTTTATTAAAGAGTGATTGCTATCGTACGTAGCTTAAGGGGAAGCTCACCGGCCCAAAAATAAAAAAATATTTTCGGTACGTTTTTATTTTTCTAAAAATATTGAGAAAAATTATCAAAAATCCAAGAAAATCAGTTTCTTCCTTAGATTTTTGTCAAAAATTACATGCAAAAAAAATTTTCTATGCCATCATGAAAAAAATTGGACTCTCAGAAAAACCGAAAAGTTGATGTTTTGTGGTTTTTTGAGTCCAACTTTATGCTATAATGACTTATAAAACATGTTTTTGCACGTGAATTTTCTTTAAAAAATTAGAAAAAATGTGATTTTTTTAGATTTTTGATACTTTTTTTCAATATTTTTAGAAAAATCAAAACGTAATTTTTTTTCGGAGCGGTCTGTTTCCCCTTAAAGACCCATGTACAAAATTGGGTCCCAAAAATTTGAATCTTTTCTGTACAAAATTTGAATCAACTCAAAATCAAGTGTCCGAAATTTGAATCTTGGTAGCCCTAGTCAAATAACATTTCTTCTTCGAAATTTTTTGATATTTAATTAAAAACATTATCTCAGATAGCTAAATTTAAAGATACTTCGACAATGTATAGAAGAAACGAAACTTAATAATGTGTTACCATAAATTATATGTCCGTTTGGTGCAGCACATGCCTTAAGTGTCCGAAATATGAATCAGAAAAGTATATAAATTCATATCACAAAACAGCGATATGCGATTAAAATATACTGTAATATCGAAAATTGAGTGCATGATGATGATTATTCCTCCAAATGAACAGATCTGTATTCTGTATTTTTTTTATTATGATAAAAATTTAAAAGTAGACATTGTACTATTAAAATGTTATTGCATCTGTTAAAGATTACTAATATTGTTCTCTGAAATCCGATAATTTAACCGACACCGAAATTGTTGTATATCAATATTCCGAAAACGATTTATTTAAATATTTATTTCTTTAATCTAGGTACCCAAAATATTCAACGATTTTTGCCAAATTTAAAGTGTATTTCCCAAAAGAAATATAAAAAAAATATTGAAGACAAAAGCGGACGGTTAGTGGTTAACATCCATGCCTCACATGCTAAAGTCAAGAGTTCAAATCTCATCCCGGACGAGTAATGAATAACTCAAAAGGTGATTAAAATATGACATCCACAAGATTTTCGATTTTTTTACCCCCTCTCCCTCCTAGTGTCACGCTTTTTTTCCATACCTAAGTATTATACGTACTGGCACATATTCTTGGACCCCCTTCCTTCTCAATCGCCCGAAGAGTGTAGAAGTTACTACAACAATAATAATAAAAAATGTAAGTCCATTCTTTTTGGTATTTAAGTTTTCAACACTTTTATGTTTAGCCACATTTGTTTTATCGTGTACACTTAGGTCTTTTTTTACACGTGGGATATGTACTGTGTAAAAAAACCCGTGTAAAAAAACCTACCGAGATTTTGATTTTTCACATGCTTGAATATTAAAAAAAATAAAATTGTAGCATGCTATGCACAGATAAAAATTCTGAATTTTAATTGGCGTCTTGCAGTGAAACTTTTCCAAGATTTCGCCACCTACATTTCGAAGTGAGAACTACTAGAAGGAGGATAGTTTCCAAATTCTCCAAGTAAAACAGACGATTTTTGGGGCAAATCGGTCCATAAAGAAAAACTAATAATTTCCGGTGGATACTTTTGCTTGAATCGTGTAAGAAAACGTGTTTGCAAACTAACTGTTATTATTTCGGTATGGATCGGAGATGTTTTCATGGAAAATTATGCATAACAAGTTTGCACCCACAGGGAGAGGTTACCTCCTGCGCAGCTGCATTTTTCGGAAAATGGTGAATATGTGCGATTTCCACTAGGATAAAAGTGGAAATTAAGTGAATTTACTTAGGAAAGATTGTATCATGCTGGTGATAATGAAAATGGTTGTATAGGACGCCAATATTCGATAAATGTTCATTTTAGCCTTTTTTAGGTAA